GCATGTACTGACCCCGTTTAGTTGGTATTCAGCTATGTTAGAGGTATGGATGTTGATGTGTTCAAACCACTCGATGATGGCTCCAGACCATTGACAATTGCCAACTCTACACTTTATCTGTCTGTAAACACAATACTTGGAGTGATTATCCAATATAGTAACAACCCCGCACATTTCATTAGGACAGAGCTGTGGCAACACTGACAGCAGCTCCTCCACGACCCTGGGAGAGACATTACTGAACGGTTGACGACACACATGGCAGTTGGCAGCATTGTTCCTACACTGGCCGCAAGTTACGTGTCCGTTGACACACAAGACGATTGGTGCTCTGACCAACTCCAGGCACACTGGGCATTGAGCGATCCTCTCTACCCGATCCAGATACTGTTTTACATCTTCATCCTCCTGGAAATAGAATTGTTTCAGAAAACACAAGTTAACGACCTTCAACATAACTTTATTTTGTGTATTGCCTTCTGGATTACTTCACAAACGATATATAAGAGGTTAAGTTACCTTTATTCTGTCCGAGTAATCCTAAAGTCGTCTGTAGCCAGTTTCAACGTCTATAGCGTCATTGTCAAGCTGGACTTTAAATCGCAACCTCCTTAGACCAACCATAGACGTCAAAACTGGTTGCCCTACTGACAACTTTAGGATTACTTGGACAGAATAAAAGAAAACTTAAAAATATTTGTCTTGATAAAAAACCTTGCAGAAAACTATTCATTGAAAAATTGCCATTTAAGGTAGAAATCTTTAAAAAATAAAAGAACTAATGGGGGGGGAACTAAAGGGAACTTTCTATGTTCTTTAACTTACGTTACACATAAATTTGCTATGGATATTTTATTTTACTCAGGGGTTCTCGTCTGTTTGTTCTATTATGTTTGGTATACCTATTTAAACTAACCTTAAGAAAGTTATTTTAACACAAAATAAATATAACTATATGAATGTAAGATGTAAAAATAGTCCCCGTGTGCAGACCGTAGCACAAGCTCATTGTAAAACTACATCCACAAAATTTAAGAGGTTTGAGTGGAATCCATATCCCCTCTACCTTACCCTGGAAGTGGAACAACAACAGGTTTGAAATAACATCAGACAGCTGATAATCTTTTTAGCAAATTTCCCATATAGGTATTAAACTATTACCATAAGTCTCATGGTAAGACACGGGACCGATTTACTATTTTGTTTTGATCTTCCCAGAGGCCAAAAACACTATCTGTTCAAATTCACATACATACAGAGGAACCTCGTTAACCTCCCCCTCGGAGGAGGGGGGTCGTTAGGTGGGACCCTTGATAACAAGTGTAATTTTCAAATATCCTAGAACTTATTTTACCTCTAATAACATTGCAAACCTCGATAAGAAGTCAACCTTGATAACAAGTCTTATTTAATTTTCCTCATGAGACTTGTTGTCAAGGTTCCACTGACTCTTATACAGGGTGTTAAAAAAGGTGGGGACATATATTTTACTTAGTTTACCACATATATTTACATATATTTTACATATATTTTACCACCTTGGGTGAAAATAAAGAGAAATTCAAGAATAACATTTTTTTATTGCTTCGTTAATCAGATATTCGCCATTTTGTATTTTTTACACGAACATTTTTATCTTTGAAATTGTTCAACCTATATTTATGAAACTTGGTCTTGGTATGTATGTTAAGGTTGAAAAGACCCATCTTAGAAAAAAAACTCATCTTGATTCGACTAAAATTAGAAAATGGCTGATTGTATGAAAAAATTCAAGAATATTTGACTTAGCATTTTTAATTCCCTATCAAACGTTACCAACTTCAAAAAAATATCGAATAAGAAATAGCTGAAAAATTATGACTTTTAGTTTTAAAATGGGGCAAACCTGTCTAGTTTAGCCTTATACTGTCATTTTACAACAAGAATCGTAATGTTTCAACTATTTCTTATTCAATCTTTTTTAACTTGGTATCATTACTGAAAGTACGTTAAAGGAAAATTTAGATTCAGTTGTAATGCTAATTGTTTGATCATTTACTTTTTTCTATGGTTAAGGTGGACTGGTAAAACATTATAGTATGGCTAATGTATGAAATTGTACTAATCTTTTGTGGACACCCTGGCCTGTATTAAATAACCTTACTTACCATGTTTTAATATCCTTTTCTTTTCAACTAAACATGCAATATCACTGTCTTGAGCAAGTATAGTTTGAGAATTTGACAACAATATACCAAGCACTTGAAAAGCATCAATACTAACTGTATTCCTGTACCTTCCTATTTGCAATAGTTTATCAAATCAAGCTTATCATCATGTGTTGAAGATAACAACTGTACAGTTAACCTTAAGTTACTCTACTAAACTAAACAAACACTGAACAGTGATCAGTGATTAGCTGCTAGTGCTAGTATTGTAATGAAAGTAAACCCCAGATTAATTGTAATCAGAATAAAGGGTTATATTCATCTGAAAACTGAACTATGAACAATAATGGGATATAAACAAAGCTGAGTATTTACAAATAACATTTGACAGTAAATATATTAAACTAGCTGTAACCCGCGGGCTTTGCCCCGTTTAACTTCTTAATTTTCAAGATGATCTCGTTCGCATGGCTCAATCACGTCCTGGTTGAAGTTCGTTCGCTACGCTCACTCACCTTTAGGTTGGAGCTCGTTCGCTACGCTCACTCACCTTTTGGTTGCAAATTAGCTGTTGTCATGAATGTAAAAGAAATAATAGTGCTGCACCCTGTTGGTAATCCTTTTAACTTTAATGCTATTGAACATCATAGAACAGAACCAACTTGTTTAATTGAAACAGCTGTTAAGATTCATTAATTCCATTTCTCATAAGGTTAACATGGGAAACTCCAGAGCCACTGGGGCGGAGCCGATTGGGCGGATCACGAAATTGATGGTGTATAAACCTATTCCATGACATTCTACACGTATGTAGCAAGTTTTCGTGGCAATCGGTTCAGCGGTGTCTGAGTTTATCACTGCCAAACAAACAAATATATATATATATATATATATATATATATATATATATACAAACATCCTCTTTTATACTTATAGATAATTAATCATGTGAGTTAAGTTTAGTTGTATTTATCATTGACTGTAGATTTTATTCACTACAAGTATAGAACCGGAAAGGGTAATGGATAAAAAGAACCAGATCTATGTTTCTTTTTGTCCTGACACACATACCAACCCTTGAACATCAAATACTAACCTTAAATCAATTTGTCAATTCTGGTTACATTAATATAGCCTAATATATTGTAGTTAATGCAAATACCGTACTAAAGTATTTGTAATAGTTATTGTGGCATTTCAGGATGCATTTATCTTCAGTACACAATTTACTATCAACTAAATGCTTACAATTTGACTCATACAAACCTTCCAAGAAAAAGAAACTTGATTCTACATTATTAATGATAACTTTTATTCTACCATCCTTTTTATCTAAGCAAATTTTAAACCTAAGTTTACAAACCATATAGCCATTATAGATTCAGATTATGAAAATTAAAATTTAACCAAATTAATAAGATTTAACAATAATATTAACAAGTGGTACTGGTATAACTTATCAGCCCAGCTTTTAGAGACTTGACAGTTTGGTTTTAAATGTATGTAGTAGAAATGCCTGGACTTTTTATTTATAAGAGTTCATTACAAAATTACATCTGCTTTAGTAATGACTGGACAAATTGAGGAGCGTTTTTAAATATTATAATTTCAACCATGGTTTCTTTTCAATTTTATTTTAGTAACCGGTTTTGGTCTTGTCTCCCTTCAGTAGAATCTCTTGTATTCATCCTTGGTTTAACTGACTCCTCAAAATATTTAAATACGAGAGTGGTTTTTAAGTAAGGGCCGGTGCTGGTTTCAGGTATAAATCTGTAGTTCGCTTGAGGCTAATCACCATTTTACTGGCATCATTAGTGAACAGAATTACACTAAAAGTTCCTTCTCCATGTTAATCTTGTTGATTATTAAATATTACATATTATATTCAGTAGATTGTTTTTGTTGTGAAATTTTAATGAAGACTTTGTTATTGACTACATTAAATGTTTTATACATTTTTTATGTTTTATTTATAATTAAATTCTATAAATCCTGTTATTTAGTTTTAACCTTGACATTATCTTCTTTATTAAGCCTTTCGGCTAGTCTATACCGGTACAAAGAGTTCCACAAATGTGAAACAACTATTTTATTTATTATTACTAAATACATTTTAAGAAAGGGCTTTATATAATATTAGGCTATAAGAAGAATGGCGAAGCACCTGTCCATTTATCTATAACGTCTGTACTTTTATGTGCTAATAAACATGATTTGATTTGTTTTGATAAACAAACAAGCTGCAACAGTTTTCTTTTCCTCCATAAGAGTAACATGGGCATTTTAAATGTTCAGTTTTGTTTAAATTTTTATTGGCATATATCTGGTTTTTTAAATTATTATCTTCTTTCAAAATATTGTATATTTTGTTAGGTTAATTGCTCTTTAATTAGTGTGCTAAATTTTGTGTGTATGTTAAAACAATGAAATATACCTATATTAGTAAGGGAGCAGTAAATAATTTTCAGAACATCAATATTACAAAATGGGTTTGGACAGCTTTCCCTTAAAAAGGGTTTAATAACACTTAAATTGAAATGTTACAGACAAATAACAAAAAAACGTGAATTTGTTTGAACCTGCAAACATACCAGAGGTTAATTTATTAAAAACAGTTTCAAATGTTGGCCCAAGAGAATTGAAGCTGCTGTACAAAAGTACCGGTAATCCTGATCATTAGTAATATAAGCTACTAAGAAATGATTGTTCTGTGGCAGTGTTAAGATAGGTGACAGAATCTCGATGATGTAATAATTCTACAGTCACCACACACAATGTGTTACACATACAATGTTAAATTAGGTTTTCATATCTTGAAGAAAATCTTATCAGATCAAACATTGAATGGGCGTAGTGAAACAATGGTTGGATATTTTAAATAAATGGATTTACCTGTTAAAGTGATCTTGACCAGTTTCATTTATGTTTATCTTATTCAGTTGAATTTCCTCAGTCGATGTCAAGGATTCGAAAATCAGTAAGTTTTGAAAATCATTCTGTAATTTTTTACTGCAATCCAATCAGTTTATGTTTCAACACCCGATGAAACTTAGTAAAATACAGTAATATTTCTCGGAATCTTTTTTAAACCAGACAACCTTTTCTGTATAATATATATTACAGTGATTGCAGTTGCTTTGGTCGCTCAAGCCAGAACTTTATCTGATAGTACATTGTAAAGACACAACTTATCCAACACCGTATGTAATGAATTGTATACGATAGATGTAAAACAATCTAACTTTTCAAATTCAAGGTAATTAAAATATAATTTCTCATCCACTTTTCGAACAGTTCATTTCTAAGGTGAGATTTTGTTTGATTTCATAACACAAACTATTAGTATTACATTGGCATTCTGTCAATCAGGTGTTATTAATCTGTAAATAAAATGTGAATAATTTTGCAGCAGCAACAACAGTATCAGCTGTGTAGTGAAACTCAGAGGACTTCCCTGGACTGCAACTGTGGACGATGTCGTTAATTTCTTTGGTTTGTAAACATTACGTACAATTTAATGCTTAGATAACTTAAGTGGCTTGTTGTAAATGCTTTGTAATAATTATTATTAATTAATTAATTTGTTTATTTGAAAAATCAAAAAAATCTTACAACATTTTATAAACAAAGCTTGCTGCAAAAGCCAGGAAAAATTGGCTTGTCTGCAGCTCATAGAGATAAACTTGTTCTAGATAACAATGAACTTTGTCCCTTGGTCAGTCCTTCTCCATATTACACTCTGGTTTTCCTTGTTTCTTGTCAAGATCTGCTATTATATTGTTGTTTTGACTTATTCTCTACCTTTCTATATACTGTATAAGACTAGCTTGCTTTAAAACAACTTGAAACAATTATCTTAAATAAATAAAATGTATAACAATAAACAACATGCATTAAATTACTGACCATTGTATTAGTAGTTTTTAGATAATTACTTGGGTAGTGATTAGGGTGCGGGACTTCTGTCCTCTGGAGCCCTCGGTTCAAATCCAGCCAATCACCAAGCAAAAAATATTATTTTAATTGTTCTGAAAATAGTTTTTGCTTAGCCAAACAAACGCTGTATTTTCCAACGCCTTCCCCCAAAAAGATGTTCCTTACCCACACAAACAAAGTACATACTTAACTTTGAAATGGCAACCATACCAATATATAGGTATTTTAAGCCAAGTAAGAATGGAGATGAGTGTAGGATGAGTGGGGGCGATCTTTTAGTCTTGTTAGTGACTAAGGCACGACACTTTCCTTAGACACAACTGTTAATTAATAGTTTAATTAAAAGTTTCTGGGTAGCAGGAGCACTACAATAATGTTTATTCTAGTTTAGTTTATTATGATAACCTCTTAGCAAGACCATTTTTCCTGACCACATCATATAGGAATGAGGTCTAAAACTGGATCCTAAGAGAATAAGGGACATAATTAATGTCCTTGTCCTTGATCATGAAACTTTTAAGCTATATCAAGCTGGCAGTATCATTAGGAAAGGTTTCATATCAATGATTAGAAAATCATGTTTCCTTACACACATACTGATGTTTCAGTATTTATGTTGACAAGTCAACAAATATATTTTCTCCTGTTGAATTGTAACTTACCAAACATTTACAATTATTTTTTTAATTTTGTTTGAATAAATGCATCAGCAGGTGTTAACTTAAGTAATTAATAGTTGTTATATGTTTTTAGACGATTGCAATATCAAGAACGGAACTATGGGAGTCCATTTGGTAATAACAAAAGAAGGACGGCCAAGTGGGGTAGCTTATGTAGACTTGGAATCCCAGGATGATGTGGAATTGGCTTACAAAAAGGATGGTCAATACTTAGGGGAGAGGTACATAGAAGGTAAACTATTGTTTTTATTTTTTGTAAAGAACAATTTTTTCAGCATTATTTTTGCTTAAAAGTTTTGTACACATTTTTGATTAGAATATATTATTCAGGAATCACAGTTTTAAAACCGTATGAGATAGAACTAAACTTTAAATGTAGAAAATGTTTGTTTTAAGACCTTTGTACCCCACACGCTATTACATTTTCCAAAATTCCTTCTATTTTTAAAATTAGTAAACTTTGGCGCAGTGGTACATTGTACCGGTACACTTGAAGGTAATTTTGGAAAGGGCTTCTTTTCATTAATCTGGGATACAAATTGTGTTCCCTTGCATTAATGTAGGCGGTTGCAAAAAAATTAACTGTAAGACCCTGAGTTTTAGACATTTTAAACACCCTGTAAGCATAAAGATTTAAAGTTATTTTCTTAAATCAAAATAATCAGTGAACAATTACCTTTAAAATGAGGTATCACTTGTCCGGATTTTAAATTTTCCAAAAACTACCCTTTTGGTACGTTTGGGAGATTTCAAAATTATTTTTACAAATTCTACAATGTAAAACATGGGGGATTTAATTACTAATTAGTTACAAAAAATCTACTTCAATTAGTTTGACTGCTATAATTTTATACTTTAATACTTTTAATACTTTTCATTGAAATGGCGACCATACAAATTAGGTATTTTAAGCCAAGTATGAATGGAGATAAGTGTAGGATGAGTGGCGCGATCTTGTAGTCTTGTTAGGGACTAAGGCCGACATATTCCTTAGACACAGCTGTTAAATAATGGCCCATACAGCTAATGGCAACTAAGGGACCTACAGTTTATAGTGGAATCCGAACCACATTTTTGCCTTATGGTATTAACGAATTGGTCTAATTATCAGGATAGTACGGCAGACAGTCGTAGTACTCACTAGTGCGGACGTAATAATTGTGTACGGCTGTCTGTCTCACACTGTATAAAGATATTATAGATAACCAGGAAAGTTACTTTGACTGATTTACTTATCTAGTGTTCCAAGCAACTGTAAGTGAGATGCAGAGAACGATTAGAAGAAGCAAACAAAGCATCCAACGAGCAATATCCGATGCTTGTGTCAGAGTCAGAGGCCTTCCATACAAGACCAGTGAACAGGATGTTATCAACTTTTTTGAAGGTTGGTTTTTTCCATTATCAACTAACCTGCATTATGCAGGCAGGTTACTTGCTTCAGTTAATGTATTTTAAGAAAACTAACCATTGTAACACTGTAAGGTAATATACCCTGATTATGGAGATATGTAGGCATGCCATTCCCATATCAAAGTAGAAGCCAATTTTAGAATGAAAATCTCGTAGTTGATTAAAGTCCTTGTCAGAGTATGCTGATGCCAATTACTTATTTCTTTTGTAACCAGATTGTGAGGGAAGGAACTTTTTAACTGAAAAGAAAGCTCACAGAGAAATTTCATTTTTGAGCAGAGCGAGCAAAGCTCTTATTCTACACTCCTGCTTTTGTTTTCCACATACTCCTCCTGAACGGCTGAAGGGATCTGCATGAAATTTAGCACAGTCATAGTAACCAACAATCGGAAGGTATAAATCTCATTTAAGATTCATACCTTACAAATTAGACAAAGGGCTTTTCTCTACGTTGATTTACATTTTTACAAATTGAAAGTGGGTCTTATGGGTTTATTGTTCACCACGATATTATTTGCAAGATAAATAAGAGGTAAACAAAAGAGTGTAACATATGTTGGTCAACGACTCATCTAAACTAGTGTGTTCCAGATACTTTTAAAACTTTACTTTGAAATGGTTTAATACATTTATACATTTACATTTAAAACATTTAACATTTAGTACATTTTAATACATTTAACACATTTAATACATTTACCTCTAGAACAAAAGGGAAGAACAGTTGGATTAAAATCGTTGAGCATAATTTACTACAAAATGAATAACTAATTAGGGTTCCCGGAACTAGGCTAATGCCCCATTGACTTATGACACTCCAAAAAGCCATTCCATGTACATGAACCAAATATGCCATTGACTTTGAATACTCAATTAGACATTCTATTTAAGTGAACCAGTGTACCATTGACCTTGGGTACTGCAAATAGGCATTCTATTTATGTGATCCAAATATTCCACTGATATTGGATATTGCAAGTAGAAAATGAATTTATAAAAATAGATGAAGCAAAGAAAAGTATTGGATTAATATGCTAGCTCCGCTCAATATTGCAAGCAGATAACTGCATTAGCACACCTAGTAACAATAGGATAGAGTTGCAACTTGGGCAACACATACAACGATACAACTATGTTCAACTCGTATGAAAAATTTGCTACAGCTGGTCTAGCCCCTCTCTACTCCAGTATACAAAATCAATCATAATACCCAATGAATTAAAAGTTTTAAAATATTTCAATAGGAAACAGTATGAAAGAATGTGTCTTTCAGGTTTAGACATATTACCTGATGGAGTATTTTTGGTACACGATGATCAAGGAAGAACTACAGGGGAGGCGTACGTGCAGTTTAGAGATCAAGAAGAAGCGGAACGAGCACTCAAAAGGCACATGGGACGACTGTATCACAGGTAAAACCATCAGTCGCCATTATAACAAATGTAGATCTCAGGTAATAAATTAATTGAAGCTATATTTTGGTCCATGAGAATCACAGACAGTAGACAAATCAAGAGGAATCACCTTCAAATCTAAAGAATAACTTCTGGATCCTGAGTAAAATTCATCATGGAAATTCCTGGTTAGGATGTAGTATTTCCTTGTGAAATTCTGCATGGGTTATCGGTGCTATTGATGCTCCTGATAAATCTATGATATACAGGTTTGTTTGAGCTGTGATAAACATAACAATAAAAAAGTGGTGTAACTATACTTAAATTTGCATTATAATTGGAAATACAGTAGAGTCCCGCAAACTCGGCACTCGATAACCCGGCAGTCTGGATAACTCGGCCATCACCTGGCTCAGAAAATTAGTGATTTTTTGAGTCCGAGTTAATCATGGATTCAAGCCAGCTTAAGTCATATTATTCTAAACTGGTACTAAGGATTTGTTGTACAGGGTGTTTATAAAAAAACTTTACAACTTTAAACAATCATAAAACATTTATTTTTTCACTTACAGCTATGAAACAAAAATTAAAATTTAGGAAATTTTCTCAAGTTTTATTTACATGATAAGAAGTTTACCTAACTTCAATGTGTTTCCCGTTGTTTGCTCGCAAAAAATCAAGTCGACATTCCAGTTCTGACCAAACACGACGCAAAATTGAATGATCTATTTCATCAAACGCTCTCCTGATCTTGTGGGTCTTGAAGGAGGATTCCTATTATATCTTGTCCGAAATCTCCGTTGAACAACAACATCAGATTTCGTTTCAATGAACCACTCCACACACTGCGCTTTGATTCGTGCTTCCATTGCGATGCTAATGAGACTTTTCAATTATTTGTTTTTGTTTACCAAACAACAATGTAAGGCCATCAGCTGATTGAACTGCCAGCTGATTAAAACTTGTTGAGCATCCCTTTCATGTGGTGTCAATAGGAAACGTTTATGTCCCATGGATCATGAATGGGAGAATGTTAAAGTTGTAAAGTTTTTTTATAAACACCCTGTACTTTATCTGATGACTTAATACTGACTTGTAATATAAATATAAATAAAAAAGGCGGTTAAAAAGCTTAGAAACTGTATCGCTCTTATTTTTAACCCCAGTTCCCGATAACCCGGCATTTCACAAACTCGGCACCCTTTCAGTCCACATTACGCCGAGTTTGCGGGACTCTACTGTAAATGTTGGATTAATAAGTAAAGTATGCTTAACTAGCAACAAATTGCCAAGCAAATAAGTAAGGAATAGCATTTACTCACAAGGTGGAACTGAGCAATTTTTTCAAAGCTTTAAAAATACAGAAAAAGTCAATATTTTCTGAATGAAAATAGAATTCAAGGTATATTCAGCTCAGTTTGTTGTCTATTTAGTGTTTAAATGTGAGAGTTGTCCGTAAATTAAGGTCTCCATCCATCTTTCGCAAAGAGGCAGGCTAGTTCAAATATAATACCAACATCATGTTTCTTACTTCGTTCACTACTTTTCAGATGGTTCCCACCTCTAATGGACGATTACTCTGGTCATGTTATTGAATATGGTTGTGGAAGAAAATTCACGCTCCCACCAAATACAAAATTAGTTCTGTTATTAAATTTCTGTGTTCTCACCTGTCAACACAATTGAAGTCCAAAGCAGTTGACGGACGTATGAAGTGAAATGTTCGCATTTAAAAAATGAGCAAAAGGGGTGAAAGGAGTTTGAAAGATTTTAAATTTGGCACAATGCTTTCCATGGTGGAGGTTGACTGTTTTTTTAATCAGTTTAATCTGCCCAAAGTTAGGCGAATTTCACAAACGTATCTAGTGACTCAATGAGAGAGATTATCAAACTAATACAGTCGAGCTAGAGGTTAAAATACCTTAATCCGATGAGCGGCGACTGGTTTTAACCCAGCAATGGGGTCATCCTCAGGCTAAGAAAGGACATAGAATTCTCTGAAGAGGTTGTTAAAAAGTCTATAAATACGATGCGAAGAACAGTAACAATTAAACACATTTTTACATGAAAATGTTTTGCCAGAAATTGACTGCTCTGCGGACGGTACGTGTAAATTGAGTTATAAGTCCAGACTGTAGTCATTGCCGTCTTGTCCATCTGCCATCCCACTCCCCCTCTTCCAGTTCTTATCAGGTCCTTTCCGTGTTGTTACTTTCTTTCAAAGCCGACTGCTGTTTCATACAATAAATTACTTTCAAAGAGCCTTTTTTTCAAAATGTGTTGGGATTTTTAGTATTTAGTGTTGGACTTTATGACAACCTCTTAAGAGTAATTCTATGACCTTGCTTTGCCAGAGGATGACCCCATTGCTGGGTTGAAACCGGTCGCCGCTCATCGGTGACATGATCACATTAACTGATTAAGGTATTACCTCTAGTATTAATTTATATTGTGATCCAGGAGGCAAAAACAACAAAAAATAAATAATACAGTCTCTATGAGACTATCAGGACTATGCTCACCTTTGTAAGTCTGAAACACGCCGATCTACCAGCAAAGTTTCCTAATAAATCATTGTCACAATGGAAACTGATGAACATCAGCTTCGGGCCCCGTTGTGCAAATATTTACATGCTTTTGCGCACTGCCTAAGCCACTAATGCACATTTGCTACCCTAAACCACTTTTCTGCACACACATCTGTCAACTGGTATCAGTAATCAGATTAACAGGGATCGATCCCCTTCCTAGTTCCTAAAGAAACCTAACACAATTCATATTAGTGGGGGAGTTTATTTTCATTTCCAACAACTTTCAATATTATGAATAGACTAATCGTTTTATAAGGAAGGATAGGCAATAGACAATAGACAATAGACAATAATCTTTATTGACATGTTCGCTGAGAGAAGTACATGCGTCAGAATATAAATAAAGTTTGTGGATTTAATATGTTGTTAAAGCTGGTTATCAAGGAATTTTTTTTCTGAGTAAATGGCCTTTCTTGCAGCCAATTCTCTTTCTTGCAGTTAATTGGTTCTTGAAACGGTGAATTGTTCATTTCTAAGTTGTTCTGGTAGGTTATTGAAATAGGAACGAGCTAGAATAGTAGTCCGGAGCCCGACGTTGGTTTGAGATCTGAACCAGCTTGCTTGGTTACGACTGGAGTTAGATGGAGACCTTAATTTACGGACAACCCTCGTATTATCCTTTTAAGAAAATAACCTATTATTTCAAAGCCTATATTATCATTGACTTTTGGATACCATTCCATCCATGTGGATTAACCGTGAACAATTTTCTATTACAAAGGACGATATTTAAATAAACAACTGACTGAGTGTCCATAGACATTTTTAAAATGGTATGATACTTTAATACTTTTCTTTTAATACTTTAATACTTTTAATACTTTTAATACTTTAATACTTTAATACTTTTAATACTTTAATACTTTTAATACTTTAATACTTTTAATACTTTAATACTTTTAATACTTTAATACTTTTAATACTTTAATACTTTTAATACTTTTCGATGAAATGGCGACCATACTAAGTAGGTATTTTAAGCCAAGTATGAATGGAGATGAGTGTAGGATGAGTGGCGTGATCTTGTAGTCTTGTTAGTGACTAAGGCCGACATACTCCTTAGACACAGCTGTTAATTAATAGCCCATACAGCCAATGGCAACTAAGGGACCTACAGTTTATAGTGGAATCCGAACCACATTTTCGCCTTGGTATATACGAGTTGGTCTAATCAGGATAGTACTGCGGATAGTTGTAGTACTCACTCGTGCGGACGTTAATCCACACCAGAGAGTATCACATCCACAGTGCATGCCTATAAATATCCACAATTCGTGACCTCCTAGTAGCTGGATTACAGGACGACGCCACCCGTCCCAGTCTGGTCAAAGAGTTACACATGAAGAGGCACATCAAAGTAAAATCAGACTGTATTTTATTAATTTTTTGTTAGTTTTCATCTAGTTGTCATCTTGTGTGTAAGTTCTTTGCATCTTAGTTTGACTAGGTGTATGTATTTATAATGTAACATAGAATCCACTCCAAAGCTTTGTAAAATGTCAGAGTCATAAACTAAGTTTTTCATTAGGTATATAGAGGTGTTTAGAAGTAGTTTGGGAGAGTTGAGGCTCGCTCAGTCGCCCCAGACAGATCAAGAGGAGTACCTCCCTCCCCCTCCCCCTCCACAGACCCAATACAGAGGGCCGGTTATGAACAACAGGGGTTATCAAATACTGAGACCACTGCGATTTTCTGGTTATCCAGGTATTAATCTCAATTTTTTGTATTTTGTACACTACAGTTTCAGATTTTTGCTCTTTTTTAAGAGAAGAAAAATGCATGACAATTAATTATTCTAAGAGCACGCGGTGTACAACTATCTCCATTTCATTGAGAGAAAGAGACGGGCAAAGAGGAATATGTGGAATTAACATGATTGTTTGCAACTTCTGCCTGTGCAAGTATGAACACTCTAGGCAAGAAGTAGAACCCTGTTTAAATTAAACTAGGGGACCATAGCAGCAATTGCTACTTTATTGCTATGCATACAACTTTAAATGAAATACACACTTTTTTACACATTTAGTTGCGGTCCACATATAACACCAAACATAACAACAAATACACAATGTATACATCATCTGGTATGCTTAAAACAGCTTATAGAAACACTGTAGCAGTACTTCCATTAGAAAATGACCGGATCTTTGATGGCCTATGGGGCAGAGCAGTTTAGTTTTTGACACTTCTGATATTTTTCCCATCGTCCTTGGATCTTAAGCTTTAAAATGAATCCTCAACAGCCATGCTACCTTTTTCCTAGCTCGAGATATTTCGTGGGGAACGATATATGGAATTAACTATATAGACTAGATACATTTTCATGAAACATCAAGTTCTTCCATTATTTTGAGTGACATCAAGCTAATAAAACTACAAAACTCAAGAGTTCTGTTGAGTGTTGTTCTAATTCCTGTCAGTAATTATATATATACTTCGTTCTCTAGGCGAATTGAAGGGGAAGTTCCCCCACCACTTTTTTGTATTTAATGTATGTTGCTAGCTGTTGAGCTATTATTAAAGGTAAGGGTTAAGTGGAGGGGATAGATTTCTTTCCCTAAAACCGCCTAAATATTGTGCACGAAGTTTATTAAATGAGAATAATAATGCCACACTGTGTAGGTAGATAACCTACAATCAGCTGATGACCAGCTGACCATTTATCTATCAATAGTTATTTGTGCAACTAGTGAGAAAAGTGAGCAATTGACTCACTCGAGAGAAATCCTTACTCACGAGCCGTAGGCGAGTGAGGAATGGTTTCTCGAGTGAGGCAATTGTACTTTGAACTCGAGTTGCACATTATACTTTTCCTACAGTTACCATAAAACAAATAAATTTGTGAAGAAACATAACCTATTTTTACACAAAAGTGAACTTTTGATATAACATTTAATGTGAAGTGACAAATACAACAGTACAACAGCTGACCAGCTGATTTACAGCCAGTGCTGCCAACGTATTTCGCGCGCATACGACGTTGCCTGCAGGTTACGCGCTCACTATTTCGTGCCTTCACGTTGAAAATCTGGAGTGAGACAAAGTAATTAGAGTGAGACAATGTTAACATTGTCTCACTGATGAGCGAATTGGCCACTTTGCTTTCTCAAATCAGTGAGAGAACATGTACATTGTTAGGTAACTGTAGGAACAATATTTTACTAACATCCCAATGATCTATGTCATAAAAGCCTGTTTTTCATAGACAGATACATTAGACAACAATGGAATGGCGCCAGATACCCACCATACGACCAAAACCATGGAAGACAACGGGACCCAGAACCAAGGTACCACCAGGGCGAAGGTAGAGAACGTAAATCAAATGCTTTGCACATGCGAGGACTTCCTTACAATGCTACTCGAGATGACATTACGGAGGTAAGACCAATCAACTGTGACTATGGTTTGTTTGAAGCTCATTATTGGTGAAGGTGAATTTAAATTATTTAAGGGAATGTTGCACACATTTTCCATCACAAATAGTGAAAATAAAAACAAAGTTTTTCATAACGTTTAGGGTTTTGGATCTGATTCCATCCTCAGCTGAGAATGTATTAAAAACTTTACAAGGATAGTATACAAACACATCCAAAGCTGGAAAAACAGAATAAAAACACCCACAGAACAAGTATACTGTAGTAGTCAAACAGATATAAAACTAAACACACCTGCCGCAGCAAACCTGCAGACTAAGCGAATTTCCATTTGCCTTTAGAGATTTTTACTCAATATTTTCTTTAAGTTGTCAGATTTAACCTCTACTTTAAACAAACAATCAATTTAATGAGTAAACATGGGCATTTTTTATTTACACTTTTTTTTTCTCTCTATAACCGGTAAGCATACAACAACGCTTCAGTGTGCTAAGTTTTGTTTAGGCTCTACAAAATGGTTTTGAAAGAAATTACAACATTTCATGTTTTGGAGTCAAAAATGGGAAAACAGATTTTTACCCATAAAACCCTTCCCGAACCCCGGTTATTCAATCATGCTGGTTTCAGAACTTGTTCAAAATAACGTAGATTTACATGTTCATACCAAATTTTATAAAGTGCTTCAAAAGTTGTAAATAATTGAGTAAATCTAGCCTTAGAACTGTTAAACAGGTGTATATTTTAAATTTTGTTTTTATGACATAGGTCAGGGATCTCCAACCTACGGCCCCGCGAAGGTCTACTGGGAAATAGTTTTGTTTTATATATTTGGTATAGGTTGACGATCGTCAAAGTTGCGGCAACACCACTACGTAACTGTTTCAGTCTCTGTGATCTCATGATCATCATTACTGATCGCGGCAACTCGGCAATATCTTGGTCGTCACGTCACTCACGGTGGCGGCATTACCCTTAATTAAATGTTGCGGTCTCGGTGATAGCATGATCGTCTTTAGGGATCGTGGCAGCTAGGCAAAACCGTGGTCCTCAATCACGGTCGCGAAAATACCCATGAGTTGCCGTCTCGGTGAATACTTGATCGTCTTTCGCGTCTCGTGCAGTCTCGGGGATACCGCGATCCCGACTGCACGTTGAAAATCTCTTGCGGTATCAGTAATATTGTGATGATCTCTCCATTGATCATGATTTATGCCTATACTCATGATGTTAAAAGAAAACCAATGGAACGGCATCAAGGAATTGAGACTTGATAATTGGCTATTGGTGATCATTGTAGTCCTTGGTCCATACCGAATTCAAGTACAATTCTTTGTGCCCAGGTTGGCTGGCTACTCAGTTGCCCAGTTTAAATATGTGACACCTATCTCACACTTTCCAATTTTTTTTTCAATAAGAGAAAATCAGCTGTAAGCATGTGATTGGCCGGAGCCAAGTGACACACCATCTTAATACAGATCTTCCAAACTAATTGAACCTCGTTGAACCTAATTGACCCTTGTTTTCAATTGAAAACAATCCTTGAAGGATCAGGACAACAAACGTTAACCCTGATTTGGCTGACCTTAAAGTGGCAACTACAAAATTCTAAATTCTCCCTAAAAATTTCTGTTAATTTTAGCCATACAATTCATTGTCAATTATTCTTATCGTTGTAACAATTAAATATTCAATCAAGTTAGCTGAGTAGTACATAAAAAATATTTGGTTTTGTGTCATCCTGTGTTTTCATCAGTCCTACTTAAAAATATCTATTATTATTATTATTATTATTTTATGGCCAGCATTGGAACTTTTAAGTCAATATAATGGTTAGGTTCTTTTTAAATTCTGTCTATTCTTTGTGTCCGCCCAATACTTCTTCATTCTTTCCGACCGTTGTTTTCTTTCTTCTTCCGAAACCACTCTTCCTTGTCTCTGATTGTTTGCTCCTATTGGCAGGATGATATTTTTGTCTTTGAGTACTGCAAGCGCCTCTGACTTATTTTCCAAATCTTCTAATGATATTTTCAACCTTCTCATGTCCTCCTTAATCTCTGTAATCCACCTAAAGTCACTCTTGCTATTCCACAACTTGTCAATTATTTTCTTGCTTATTCTATTTTCCGGTGTCCTTAAAAGATGTCCAATGAATGAAATTCTTTTCTTTTTAATTATACTTGTCACTGGCTCTATTTCCTTATATACAGTTTTATTTGAGGCCAGTCTCCAAACTCCATCTTTTTGATATTTTTGGTTTATACATGTTCTGATGATTCTTCTTTCTATTTTTAGTATTTTATCTATTGCTACAGTGTTAGTTGTTTTAAATATAGTTTTACTTGCATATGTTATTTGTGGAAATATAAATGCTTTGTAGTATTTCAATTTTGTTGCTATTGATAGGCATTTTTTTAAAATATCTATAATAGAACAAATACTAATATCATTGTAAATATACTGTAAATTAATTTATATTAACTTGCTTATGAATTTGAATAATCATAAGCCTAATGTAATGACAAAGTATAAATTAATATGACAAAACACATTTTATATACCCATAAATAATTATGTGAGGTAGGTAAATTATTTTGTTTGGTCACAGTATAATTCACACAAAAACGTTCAGAATTTTAGTTAGTCAACAGGTTTTATATCAACTCAAAACATTACCAAGAAATATTCAAACTTCATCGCTGAACTCTTAAATATAAAAATACCTCTTTGTGCGTTATTTGGAGGTGAGCTACCTATCTACATTAAAAAGTTGATGGTCCGGCCCACCTTTCATCCAAAAATTGAAAATTGTCAATGTAGCCTTTGAGTAAAAAAGGTTGGAGACCCCTGAAATAGGTAATGTTAATTTATTGTTAACTTTGGCTGGATAAAATCGTTGTCTACGTTGTTTAAGGTTGGCAAAAATTATGTATATTTCACAGAATTATTGCCAATGTCTCTTACACTCTGTAAAATGTTTTTTTTATGATGAAAATGGTGAAAACCATTGTATAAAAGGGACATATGCAAGGCATTAGATTTCTACTATATTCTAGATCCATTCTCAATAAATTTCTCTGGACTACAGGAGATACATAGTTATGTAGACTAGTAACATTGAAAATTGCACAATCACATAAATTTATTTACCAATCGTACGCATGTCGGAATTAAATTTTTTTATCTTTTTCAGTTTTTTAGCCCCATTGAAATAATTGGGATTGACTTCCACTTTACCTCTAGAGGAAAACCAAATGGACAAGCAGATGTGATATTCAAAACTAAAGAAGATCTTCAAGAGGCTTTGAAAAAAGATAAAAACTACATGAAACATAGATATATTGAACTGTTTGAGTAGTTTACCATAAGAGAAATAATGGTTGTGAAAAACTGATTTCCATAATGTAATAGAAATCATATTTTTATAATGTTTTTTAACAACATCATTTGACTTTTAAAATACAGATAAGTACTACCTACAAACCATTGATCTAATATCATTGCCTTCCGCGGTCACGGAAATGCCATCATCGTCTTGCGCGATCGTGGCAAAATCATGAACATCTCCCGCGGCCGTTTAGACATTATCATTGCCTCCCGAGGTCACAGAAATGTCATCGTCGTCATGCGCGATTGCGGCAAAATCATGAACATCTCCTGCGACCGTTTAGACCTTATCATCGCCTCCCGCGGTCACAAAGGCGTCATCGCCGTCATGCCCGATCGCGGCAATAGCGGTTTCCGATTGTGTGATCTCCGGAGACGTGTATTAAGTGCATTTTAAGTGTTTTAATTAACAACATTCTAGTAATCCAGCATTTTCACTAATCCGACAGCACCACAGTCCTATATCTGCCCGATTACTGAGAGTCTACTGTACAATAAAGAGGTATGAAACTAACATCTGTACTGAGGCGCTCTACAAACAGGTTATGCCTTGTTTGTTTGTTTTTGTACTTTTAGACAAAAGAGGCATTTGTTTGAGGGAATGTACGAGTGGTCATCATACACAGACATTGTATATAGGTGGTCATCCAAAATAAACTGAGCTAAATGCAATGGAGTCTACAGTATATTCAAATTTTAAACATTCTCGCCATTAAGAGTGAGAAATTGAAATATAAAAATTTTAACGTATCTTGACCTTATAGGACTATACGAAACAACAACATACACAAGTTAACCTTAATTATTCTATGATTTAAAAAAGTCAATGTTCACAGTAAAAGTTGAAATTCAGTATAAATTAATTTCCAACAATGGAGAAAAACTTTCCACACTTGGCCCTACATTTGTGAAATATATCCTGAAATGAGTAAAAAACTAGATATTGTAAATTGCCAAATTCACTATTTAAAATATTTTTATTATTGCAATGTATACTTTGCAAAAGTGTTTTTAAATCCATAGTAGCTCCTAGTGTAGTCCAAGCAAGTTGATTCTTTTATAAATTGAAGTAAAAAACCTTTTATTATTTAACTGCAAGCCAAAGGGTGAGGTTCATAATGTCCAAATTTCACAAACTCCAACGTCTAAAATATTAAATAAACAGTGTGTTTCATAACCTCCAAACTTCATAAACTCCAAAACTATAACTTTCAAATAAGCACAGTTTCACAATGTCCAAATTTCACAAACTCCAACTTTTAAATATCAAATAAACAGAGCGGTTCATAACCTCCAAGTTTCATAAGCTCCAACGGTACAGTCTCTGCCATAAGTCAATCGAATTGGCGGGATACCGAGGCGGACGGGCCGAATGAACCTCTCTGTTTTACACAAACATACATTCACTCAACCTGCTCTGCTACACTTATTTGTTAACATACAAATTTCAAATTGATATATTATTTTTCTGGAAAAACCAGTGCTCATTACTATGTAGCTAGTTTTTACCTTAACATAATTTTTATAAATTATTTAGGCAAATTAAAACAGATGATTGTTTTTTAACACCATAAGAAACATGAAAAATGTAGTAAGCGAGGAACTTTTTTATTTTTTGGTCAGGAAAAAAATTCCTGCGGCAAAGTTTTAGATCAAAGTATGAATTTTATTTTTTATTTGAAGCTTTTTTTGATACGGAGCCTGCTTGTATCATTTTTAAGCGATTAAAAATAGGCATAAAATCGCTTGGCGCGGCATTGGCGCTAGGAGTTTGGCCGGCTCAGCATCAGTTTACGGGATATAGAAACTGAGTTTCTAGCATTTAATTATCATTATACTGTATTACATCAAATATGTCATTACATTACGAAGAATGGTAACTTAATTTACAGGCGTATGTTTGTGCATTTTAATGCTTACCGGTAGTCTATAGTTAACAAAATTCTTTGATACAAATGCTTCCCCGATTGTAATTTCGGAAATTGTCTTCGTGAAATATGAAAAGGCATATAAAGATGTGGAGATAATTTAAGTTCTTGGTAAAACCCACTGAATTAGCGACCTGGCCCAGTTATTATTTCTACTTTTATTCTCCTTTCGTTAAGGTAAACTAAATTAGTGTAAATGCATCCCATTGACTAAACTTTACCCTAGATTTGGTTCTGGTCAAAATAATATAAACGAAAATAGAAACTACTCTTATTCTAAGTTTATGTGGTGGAATTCTTGCTAAAAGTGCGATTGACTTTACATTCTATCGAAATAGGCCTATTTAAAACGTTCAGCGGGTTCTCAGTTGAGACCATGGTTGAGACCACATTACAATACCTATTTATTTGCTTCTTCATCCTCTTTAGCCATTTAGTTGTTAGATAGTATTACATGTTATATTCAATGGATATATTATGATTTTATTTTAAAACATTTAACGAGTTTATATTCATCTATATTTGAAAAAGCTAATCAACGGCTCACGTCTAACATTTTTGCCACTGCAGTGCATGGTTAGGGTTTGATTACCCATTTGTCGAAACCAATCACGAAATTACGTTTCTCCAGCATTGACAAGCATATAAAGAAAAGGAAACTACCTCAAAATATTACTGTTATAGGTTTTCCCTGTACTTTATTCATACTATGCATGCTAGTCTATATGATTTTAACCCCTTTTCCTTTGAGAAACAGAATGTACCTAGTTAAAACCTTCTCCAAACAAAATTAATAAATCCCGCTCACTGGAACTTGTCATAGTAATTGCTTTAGTGAAAAAATATATTGTCTCTACGAACTTTTTTAGTTTAATTCTCAGGTTAGTTCCAGAGTAGCCGTTGAGGTCATTCCACTTTAAACAAAATATTGATTAAACACTAAAGTAAGCGTCAAATGTTTACAGAAACGTTTAGAATATATCATCTCATTATAATGTTTTTGAAATAAAAACAAAGCAGGAGTTTTCCATTTAATATTGAATCCATAATTAATTAGTGAAATTAGTGATTTGTGTTAAAATTTTATTTGGCGTTTTCTGGTATCTTGGTTTTGTTGTTAAAGTTAGTGATGGTAAAAGGCCTAATTGAGTTCGCAGTTTACATGCCGATTTTGCAGTTTTTTTTTTAAAGTCAGTAAAAGATAAATTAATTTTTATTTTGTCCTTAGGTAATTAAACATTAGTCCATACGGCACGCGTACGATTGTAGTTTCTTTCTACACGTTGCAAAATGCTAAATTGCCCTACCTGTTTAAGCAATCTACAGAAACATTGTTTGTAAAAAATTAAAAAATACAGGCTATTTTATGCATTAAACTATTGGCTACAATTTAGCCACAGGCAGAACCTCTCTGACCAAAACAAAAAATAGGCCTATATATTTTTTTGCAAAGTATGGTGTTTCCTCTTGACGATAGCTTCCCTCTTGACTGCAACGCCAGCAAGGCCGTGGTGCGAAGTTTTTGCTGGACTGTACTTTTTCTTATCCAACCTAAACCCCTAATCATTTCGAGCTAAGTGCTGCATACATTTTAATTTATATTCACTGAAAAATTGAGATTCAGACTAGTTAAAGTTAAACTGTGTAATGAAATGTAAGTGATAATTTAAGGTAACATATTATAAATAATATTACAGAAACCCTTACAGTTAATAAAACACTATTCTACAAATTCTCTCCAGAAAGTAAATCTCATGAATAATTAACCACTACGGAAATCTATATATATAATACGCTAAGCCGATTTTTGTAAACAGACCTCCTCCCTCATTTTTGGACCGATTTCGATGATTAAAGTGCCAAAAGAATGGCCCTGATCTGTAGTTTTGCAAAGTCTTTGTCATTATTTGAAATCTTTATTAGTTTGGGCAGGATCTTCCATCAAAGTTGGATTTTCTTCCATAGGATTAACATGGAGGAATCTAAATATTTAATTGGAAACTTTGTCTCCGCTAATTTGAGAGAACGACTACTAGTAGTCGTAGAAACTTGGTAGAGGTGTAAAAAGAAAGGTCTTGGTCTCTAGATGAGTTACCAAAAGAAAAAACGAAGTGAATCCCGTTAGGGCTCTGCCCCAGAAGCCCTTAAAGCTTCCTCCACAGATTTGTTTACATTTTCATGATGTGGATAATACTTTTGAATTAAACAGCTGTTAATTCTTAAATTGTATTTTAAACAACACACGTTTATTGGGAGTTATTGAACTGTCCAAAAGAAGTATTTGCAATACTATTTACTGATTTTAAAATATACTAGTTAACCACCCGTGCTCTGCCACGGGAATATTGTCAGCAATAAGAGACATAATAATTAACAAATACTGGTTATCTTTGTATTTTATTTAGGGGCAGCTTATTTTTTTACATAAAATAGAACTGATAGTTGGCCTATATAAACTATTTTATGTTAATCAAACCCATTTTATTAGTTTAACGAAATGAATGTTTTATTTTAATTTGAGTTTCATTTGAAAAATAAATAATGTACGAACTGCGCAATGCTGATAACCTAATAAGCTACTTATTCTATGGAGATAATTTGTTTATGTATACTCCTACATTCCCTGATTTCTGTTCATTATATTTGTTGTGTGGAATAAAGTTAGTCACTTAAATCACGCATCAGCACTTGGTCGCATCTTTGACCTATTCTGTGAGCAACAGCTGTGTTTACGTCGTATATAAAGTTGAGCATACTTTGGTACAATGTTAGAGGGTATTAACGGTCCAATCAGATGGTAAAAGTAGTAGTCCCAGATCTTAAGATTAAATAGACTACCAGAATGATGTTGATTCATCTAAGTGAGACTTATAACTCACCATTGCAAATGTATTATTCAAATAGTTTTTTGAAAGTTTTTGGTTTCTTTTGATACTTAATATTTTCTTTATAGTCGATGTATGTAGCCCCGTTGATAAGATGTTCCATTAACTCAGAATGTTGATAAGGAGCTAATTTTACCTTCCCATTGTGACAACATCAGGAGAGTATATTTGTGTCCCTGTTAGTCTATTCTGACTCGAAATTCATAGATTTTCAGTAGTGACAAATCTAATTTAACGACCCAATTCAAAAGAGTC